TACACTTCTAGATGCCACTAAAACTGGTCCTTGTTGACCAAAGTGCTGTACAGACCAGAGCAGGTAGAGAAAAACATGATTAAGAGAAAAACAAATTAAAAGAATCACAGACAATGAAATCAGCAGGAGGATGAGAAAAAGTAGGTTTTGAGCCTGGATTTAAAAATAACATTAACCATTATTAACATTAGTGTTTTACTTCATGCAGGCAATAAAAACGTGGTGGGGAGGGAACATCTGGACAGAATGAAGAATGGCTGCATAGTCTGCAACATGGGACACTCCAGCACTGAGATAGAGTTGGTATGAACGTAGACTGTGTGTGTTTGTGTGTGTGTGTGTGTGCGTGTGTGTTTATACATGTTTTTATGTGTGTGTATAAACCTGTATATACATGTGTGTAAAATATGGACTCTTGCTTCTCAGGCGAGTCTGCGGACTGCAGAGCTGAGGTGGGAGCGTGTGAGGCCTCACGTGGATCACGTTATCTGGCCTGATGGCAAGAGAATCGTCCTGCTGGCTGAGGTGATGATACTGTTGTTGTTGTTGTTGTTGTTATTGTTGTTACACACCGAGCAGCAGGAGATAATGTACAGAAACCTATTTATTGTAAACTATAGTCCCACAATGTGTGCTCTGAACTGGGGTCTTGCTGCACATACCCTGTTTATTAAACAGTAACAGCAGCCATTTTGAGTGCTTACAAATGATACATTGCACCACACGTAGCCTTTCATTACCATGCTGCTTGTGACTTTCATTGTTTATTTAAATTAACATTTCAGTGAGTGGAAACATTTTCAGCTATCAATGTTTAACCAGCTGGCTAACCATTAAAGGTGTCATAACACCTTTCCATAATACTACCTTGCACTGTTACACACACTGGTGTCTTTGTTACAGATTTTTAAAGTTTTTAAAGTCATTGTAGTTTCAGTGGTTGTTATTATTAGGTTAAAATCAAGTGCGGTTAAGGTTAGATCTTTTCCTGCCTGTACCTGGATATACTTACTTGTCCAGGGATAACAAGGCCTCTGCATGCAGAACTGAGTTTTAAGAACTGTTACATAATGTTTTCTTACAGCTCACATCTGATCCAAAATGAGTTGAGCTCCAGGAACAGACTCACTTGGTCACTGTTAAAGGATCAGGTGTGCAGCTTTAGACACAGAGGGATATTTAAGGACTAATCTAAGTATTTTAAACAGCACACTTTACATGTCTTTAGGTTATTATCAGAGTTTTTTAATGTTTGCTTTAGGGCCGTTTGTTGAATCTGAGCTGCTCCACGGTGCCTTCACTCGTCCTCTCCATCACCGCTACAACTCAGGTGTGATCACATGTTATTTACTTCAAGGTTTTATTTAGCAAAATATCTTTTTATTCTTTTCTAAATGTATCACAGAGGAAGTGTCTGTAGTCATTTTGAGGCTGGTGTTAACAAGACTGTTGTACGCCAGGCCCTGGCTCTCATAGAGCTGTACAGTGCTCCAGAGGGACGATACAAACAGGACGTCTACCTGCTGCCAAAGAAGATGGGCAAGTTCACAGCTTAAGTATCCTAAAACAATTAGGACCATATCTTTATATTCAGGACTGATGAACCCCTGTATGTTTTATCATTTCAGATGAATTTGTAGCCAGTCTTCACCTGCCGACGTTTGACGCTCGCCTCACAGACCTGAGTGATGAACAGGCCAAGTATCTGGGCATCAGCAAACATGGACCCTTCAAACCTAACTACTACAGGTGAGGACAAGTATTACACACAAACAACACACAGATTATATATTGTTTGTGTATTTAACAGATTTTTTTTTTTTAAATAGGTATTAACGCTCTGGAGATAAAGCTGAAAGACTCTTCAGACATGCTGTTGTGGATTATATTTTGAAAAACCCCTCACGGTCCTGCAGACACTGACGCCCTCTACAGTCTGAATCTGACTCAGTATTATCAAGACAGTGGATGAGGACTACAAACCTTTACTTTAATTAACTTTTCTATGCACGTGCGGTCGTATCTGTTTTATGTTTTTTTTCCTTGTTATAAATATTCACAGTTTTCAGACTGTAATCAGTGTAAATTCTTATTGAGTTTAAAATGAAGAGAAACACAAAGTGCCGAATGTTATTCACTCTTCTCCTTTATATAACAATACTATTTCTTAACTGAAGCAACAATCAATATCATATATTTAATTCATCATATTTAAACTATAAGTTGACAGCTCAAGTGATCAACATTGAAATATCTGCTCACATTTGTACATGTAAAATAGTTTCATCCACTATAATCCTGATTTAAATCTAACATCTAAACATGATATTAACCTTAAAAGAAGCCTCTAGTAATGAAGCATGCATAAGATATTATAATAAAAAGCGCAGTTTCTCCCTGTGTCTGTCTCATCATTTAAATATCACAAAATTAGAATTATTGTGTGCAACTCTAAACTGTAGAAAAACAACATTATGAACAATAATTGAAACTCGTGGGTTTTTCAAATGATCTCTGCTCACACTGCATTATTCATACAACCACACAATCCTGTAAATACATGTTATATTCCCACTAAACTCACCACACAGTGACTAAGATGGATCTGCAGCTTAGTCAGAAGCTCTACAAAGACTGCACAGCCGTATACTGTGGGTCAGTGGTTCCCAACCTGAGGGTTAGGACCCCCAGTAGGAGTCACCACAGCCTCATGGAGGGGTCACAAGGACTTGTTGATTTAAGGGTGTGTAAGAAAATGTAAAAAATCATTCAATCATTTATCCAACCTTAATTAATTTCTCAGGAATAGATTGAGGAGTGAACCCTTATTTTCAATGATGCCAAGATTAGACAAAAACAATAAGAAGACAAACATCAAAATAATTTGTCAGTTTGCTAATTAAAAACAGATTCCACAGTTTCATGTAAACTTGATTAATAAACATATTTCTAAAATCTCCCAATGTTATCAGGGAATCCATATTATTAAAGTACATTGTAGTTTGTTCAATAAGTGCAGAGCTGAAACTCTAGACAGTAGGTCTATATTCCCTATATTTCTGGGAAGAAAACTATTTGCAATTTTAAAGTTTAGATTATTATTTAAGATCTAAATTTTTAAGACCTTAACTAAACACCATCGTCCTGCAAAGAAAAAAACAACCAAGCATCAGATAGAATAAAACATTGGATTTGTCATAATAGAAAGGCCTATTAAGTAGTTATGATTGATAAAAATGAAAAAAATACATAATACAGACAGCGAATTGTTTTAAAATCCTTAAAAACTTTATCTGATATAATTTTCACAGGAAATAATCTGCTTAAAATTCACCAAATCTCTCGTTTTACACAAACCTCCTGCAGTTATTGTGCTCACTATTTGGGTTCATTGTACAGTTTATTAGTTGTTCCGTACTGTTCTTGTTATTATTGAATATATTATGTCACTTAGTGAGGGATCATCCATTTACTCAATAATAGAAAAGAGGTCCCTTAAGGAAAAAAGGGTTGGGGACCACCGGGAAACAGTCTACCAAGTTACTATTTGCCACTGGGGCGTAAGACCACACTATCATCTTTGCAGAGACTAGTTTCATAGATAACGATAGACAGATGATAGACTAGTATGATAGATAGGTAGATAGGATACTACAGATTTACAGAAGCGATAGATACAGATTACGAAAGATAGACCGATAGTAGATCACCTAGCCAATCAATATGTTCCATATGTATATTTGCTTTATTTCTGGCAGTAAAGGCTTTACTGTTATCCGTCGTTGTTAATCATACCTTTACGCAGAAATTTTGTGAATGTCTCAGACTTCAAACAGCTCCCCCCCAACTCGAGATAAAAGCTAAATCCAGGATCCGCTGGCAGATGGACGAGGGGTCTCGGCTACGTGCGCCTGTGGTGTGGCTACTGTCCTGTAGAAATCCTGGCAGGATGAAGAAGGTACTCATCCTAGAAGAGATCGCGTGAGACATTTTGTGAATGGTACAGTAGGAAAATAACTGTATCTGTGCAGTTCTGGTCAAGTCGCACTCTCAACAGGTCATTGTTATTGCTGCACAGTT